AGTGCTGAACATGACAGAAACAATGTTTAAATTAACAAAGCTGCCTTAAATTTATGCCTCAATTACTGGAAACAATGCAAACGTGGCCAAAGTGCAAAGGTCTGCGCATGCAATTCAGATGCATAAATGGCGCGTGTAAACAAAAAATGTAAATTAGCAAAATGAAAGAGCCAGAAAGTAGGATGAAAGATCAGACAGTGGAGAGTACGGAACCGCTTTAATTTCAAATTGACCAACGTATCCAACCGACAGTGCCAACAGCACACTACAAATAAAAATAAAAATAAAAATAAAAGGAATCAGAATTAATGAACTAAAAAGAGCTACGAAAAAATAAAAGAGATGCAAATCAGCCACAACGGAAATTCATGGACGAGCAAAGCAAGCTGCATATGAGAGCTGTAGCCATGGCCCCAAATACTTGTTCAATTACGAAAATTTGTGTGGCAGCAGCAGCAGCATTTCAAACAATTTTGGCACACGAGTGCAAACAAAACGTTACTCGGCAGACAAACAACAAAACGTACCACGGTACGTATAATTTATATAAAACATAATTTTTAACTGCAATGTAAAATTTAATTACTATGTGTGCGTGTGTGTGTATGTGTGCGTATGTAAAGCATGTTCTGGAAAGGTTGTTGTGCTCCACACAAACAATTAAAAATGCCCGTAACTGCATTGCAGGTAAATAAGTTCAATTGCCCACATTGGATTCGCTGTGTTTCAGCTTGTAAATACTCGCACATGCAAATAAACACAAGTAGGTACGTGTGTGCGCATCTGCACTGGTTTGTGTGTATGTGGGCCATTGAATTAAATAACAATTAGCTGCGAACCAAGTTGTGTGAATGCTTCTCGGTCATGTTAATTAGTTAAGCGTGTAAATGGAAAATTGAAATTTCCGCCATTATTATTGCAAGAAAATGCACAAGTAACATAACCTTTTTATAGTTTTGAAGCTTAAATACGTTAAATATTGTGCTAAATATAAATAGTCTATGACAACTTTGATGCACTTTTATTCAATATGCAATAATATATGTTTAGTTTGCTCCATAGGTCATTATATTTAAGAAAACTACCCATTCTCCCTGTTCCAATACAAATCATGAGCAATATTCGTCCATCCTTGCCATGGCTAATTCAACAAATGCTTCATAGTGACTTGCTTGACAATTTGCTGAAGAGAGCCCTATGTACCGGACGCAGGAAAAGATTGTGTCATTTTTCATAAGCAAAGTATTCACTGGGAAATTTTTCGTATATTTTCATTCGAAGGTAATAATATTTATCATAACAATCAACTACTGATATTAGACTCTTTATCTTCTATACAAGCGCCTGCCAAGAAAGGCCTAATCTTATTTCTATATATCCAATATATTAAGCATAATTTTAAACAAAATTACTTTTTATAAGCTTTAAAGTTAGTTGTTACTCTTACTCTGAAAATGACGTCCATTAAAATGAAAATTACAACTAATTTGTCTGCAAAATTAAAATGTACAATTTATTCACAAATGAAGGGTAACTTAAATAATTGGCTCTTTGCTTAATGCGTACTGCTTACTAATTCACCTTCCATATTTCAAATTTAAATTTGTAGGACTTTCAGTATGCTTTTATCCATTTTGTTCGGAGTAGGATACTTATTTATAAAAGGTGTTGTAATTCTTCGCTTTCCAAACAATAAGTAACAAGAAAGATAGTCGGCAAATGTTGTTTTAAATAGTATTGATGTAAGTTTTCGGGGAGCAATGCTTCGCCGAGCAATGCGATAAATGCTAAACTGAATTTACTGTTGCATTTAAAGGGCAGCCAAGCAAAACCAAAGCCAACCATCCACAGCGATCACTGAAATTAGCACTCTAGGAAGGATAAGAGCACGCAATCAAATGTATCCATTTCAAATGCACAACACTTGAGCGTAAATCAAAGCCATAGCCGACACACCTATCTCTGGGAAAACACAAACATACCCACTTATGCATGTACGAGTATGTCCAATCAAGAAACAAGCAATTTGATGTGGTTCGTAATTTCAATTTATATGCGGAAAGTTCTTAAACGCAACCAAGTTCTCATTTACACTCCCCTTCTTCGGCTCTTAAAGCGAGCCAAAAACGCAAGTTGACAGCCACTTGAGAACCACAACTTGACTTGTCTGGCTTGCATCAGTAATGGTGAAGGAAAGCAAGTGGACTGTGCTGCAATTGATGGATGCAATTTAAAAGTGCAAGTGGACACCTAAAGACTCTCTCTCCCTGGCAATGAACTGCAGAAAATACTTGAGCGTAAGGCACAGCGTGGACCGCAGATAAATAGACTTTAAAGGAGGCATCAAGTGCGGCAGCAGGTGCTGCTCAGCGAAGCGTTCAAAAACGGGTTCAACTTTTCCCCAACTATTTAGTACGTGCCGTGAACTCGGAACAGAGCAACAAATTATCCCTAATGCCAGCCATCAGCTTTAAGAGCTGCTGTAATTTCATCATTATGTGCGCCAACTTATGTCGGAACAGCTGAAAAGAGAGATGCGAGCTTTGCAGCAGCAGCCGGCGCTTTGTTAAATTTGCTAGAAGCATAATTTTCAACAAGTTGTGCTTGGAATTTCCGGTGTCATGCTGGAAAACCCATGGGCTAAGCAGGAAAATTACTAAACAATGCACCAAAAGAAAAAACTCGAAAGGAAAAAATGGACAGGCAGGCAAATGAACAAATAGCAACAGAAATACCAACACCAGCACCAAAACCAACAACAAATGCGACAGGGGCGAGCCATGCAAGTATGAAAATGGCCAAAGTGCTGACCTAAGCCAACAAAACAAAAAACGTTGCAAACAACAGCAAAAAATTACACAAAAAAAGGCCAACGAGCCAAGTCAGAGACAAAAGCATTGCTAAGCAAAATGAGCAGCTCAGCACCAAAAACAAGAGAGACTGCCGACTTAATACCCTCAACGAATGTTTTCATATGCTATAAATGTTTAATAAACGTAAAAATATAACAAAATACGAAGCCAAAATGTGAGTTCTAAAGAAAATCGAGACAATATATACATAAAAAAATACATTGCAAAATAAAAAAGAAGACGTAGACGTTTCGGTTAAAAAACCGAAATCTCCCAACGCAACTGGCATTGTAGATGTCCCATACAAAAACCCATGATATTTCTGAGAAACTACTAGCTTATAAAAAATGACAAAATCTCTTTTTAATACTCATTTGAAGCTAGATATCCAAATATATTGGCAGATTTCTGTTCAATGCTAGCTAGAACTAAAGGAAATAGGTGTTTAAGGAACATTATAAAAATAAGATAAGCTTACCTTCTATATAAAGTTATTTCTGATAATACTATTTTAATTCAATAGATTTAAAAGCATAAGGTTATGTTCATTTAGCTATTATTTATTTATTTATGAATAAACTTTATCCTTGTGTTACAAGTACCAGATTACTTTTAAGTTATTACGCTAGTCATTACATATTTATTTCTAATTTAATTCAGTTTAATTGAATTTAATTACAAATTTAATTGAGTTTTATTTGTTTTATTTTTAATTAGAAACTCTGATGAAGGTAGAGTCTATTTTGAATTATTTAAAAATGTTATACAACATCGCTAGTTTTGTTGTTATTTTTATTTTGCACAAATTATGTGCTTTAGTATAAAGATAAGCCGCATTGAAAATATAACTACATATCAGAAATTAAACTACAGTTAGAGTTCGATATAATCCACATAGGTAAAGATAAAATACAATTTTATTTTTTAATATTTTTTATTATGAATTTAACATATACTCACATTACATACATAGTTTCACAAAGTTTTATCTAAATAAATATAGATGATAATAATCGAGGTTATAAAATATATTTACAACTGCGAGTACTATGTACAATCTAGATGTGATTTTATTTATTTATTTTGATACTTCTTTAAATTTGTTCAATATTTTTGTAAGTAATAAAAAAGTGGTATAAATATATTATTTAAAAAAATTATATAATTAACATAAATGTTTCGATTGGAAACTGCAATTAATTCATTACAAAAGAAATATCTCTTTTTCGTGGGGAAAAGCATTTATGGACCATTAGTTGTATGATCAACAACTCCATTAGTCGTGTCACAATTTAACGATTAGTGTAACCTCTAAACTCATAAACGACTGATTTAAGAGAAATCGCATGTACATGATTCAATTGGCATTCCAGCTTTATCTGAATGTTTATAGTTTAAAGCTTAATTTGAACAGTTTCTTTTTTTTTATTAATTTCAAGTAATAATGTTCGAAACGAAACACTCGTACACACGCACGTTGATTAGTTTGGGATTTAAGGCTGCATTTTACTGACCTCCACACCACATTTTACAGTGCTAATGACCCACTTTTTCAGACTTTGAAACGACAATCAACTGCTGTATAACTAGATTCAATTTAAATCAAACCCATAAAGCATGGATATGGGATTAAAATTGATGCAATGATATGTAATAATTCAATATTTGTTTTTTTGATATTCAGGCTCTCGAGACCTGGTATCGCAGACAAATTCCATTTCCTTTTGACATACGAGTACACAACTGGGCTGCCAGAGTGGTGGGGGAGTCAATAAAACGCACTCGAATGCACGCATACCATGACCAGCTAGATATACGCCATGAGTTACGACATATGTTGAAAACTGTTGGACGTTTATTGAGCAACTGATGCAGCACCAACGACGAGCGAGGACAATGAGCGCAGTAGGGGAGGGACGAACAACAGAACCGACAACGGCATGTGGCAGTCTGGGCAAAGTCAAAGCCGTAAACAAATAACCAACTCAACTGAAGTTGATGTAAAACACTGCGTATGAGTGATGTCCCATGGACACACACAACAACTACAATGACAAGAACTGGGCTGGCAATGCAAGGACAAACTTCTGCTGATATCCTGAGTGAGCGTGTGTGTCTGTGTAATTGAGATAGTAATCAGACCGTTCCTTTTCTAATTGCCAACTTTTTTTTATTTTTACATTGCTTTGCAAAGCTATACATGCATTATGATATTTTCTTTTAGCTTCCCATTATTTTGCCCAGACGTTCCTTCTCCTTCTTGGTCAGCTTGTAGAAATATTTGCTCGTGGTATTAAGCTCCGTTAAGTTATGGTAAGGCGGCCAGAAAGTGGTGTAAGAGATGATGCTGCGCAAATAGATTGGATATTAATGAGGAAAATATACAAATATACTCAGTACTCACCGGACAAAATGACAGGCCTCTCCGGCCGAAATCTGATAATTGATTAACTCATCGATTTCATGCCGAAATTGCTTCTCATATTTACGGCAAGTTCCGTTATAGCGGTCAAGACATACTATATCACTATAGAAATAAAGGTAAAAATGCTTAAAGGTTTCAGATGTATACTCGCATGAATAGAAGCCGCCACTTACAATGGTATTTTGAATTTGCTGTAGCTCGGTTGGAGACTAGCAGCATCGTTTGTGTCATCCGGAAGGTATTTATCTTGCTCAACATTCAAAATACGCGTTTCTCTGTTGTAGGTGTCATTTTTAGAGGTCCTGCGGAACAATAGATCCTCCTTGCTGCGGCTGAAAAATTGGCTATTCTGGCGGTTTGGGTCCACATTAGGAATCCCAAATACTACTTTAGTTATTGTGGACTTTCGTGGGTGTTCGGTTATCCGTTCGCGTATTGAACTAACCCGTCTTGACACAATACTTCTAAGCGACTCCCGCCGCTCTATTACACTTTCACTTTCCTCCATTTCATTTATCGTAGTATTTCGTTTGTTTTTGTGTAGTTCGTGTAATGCTTTAGCCTAATTTATGTTTGATTATGAGTTTCTGGGTACCTACGATGCTTTATAGATATAATGTCGATAGTCCAACTTTGATTTCGTCTTTTCTTAGAGTCGTCCCAAAATTTCTTCGTACGACGCAATAAGAAGTTCAAAATTAATGCGCTTGAAAAGGAGGATGTAGAGAAGGTTCTCGAACTTAAAACAGCAGCTGAAAAAATGTTGAACCATTATTATAGACTCCATGTAAGGGCTAGAAAAAATGTATGGTTTTGAAGTACCTTCAGGTTTCGAGGATATCACTGAAAGGCTCTTAATGCCTGTTAGCAACCTCAGAGCTATGGCTTTCCTAGACTAAACTAATCCATCCCGGGGCTTACATATTTTTTAAAGGCGTTGAACTAATACGCTTTATTCCAGCAATTTGAGGTCAGAAGGTTTTCGTATGATTTAGTAATTTTTTTTTTTTGTAAATTTTGGCTTCCTATTTCATAGATGTTGGCAGAATGTCTCGATCACATATACATATTTGTTCCTCCTAGAGAATATAAGGCATCAGTTTACGGGTATCAGCTTAAATTGTAAGCTTCACTCCAGTACTGCGTTTCGGTTCCGGTCCGTTTACATTACTAGTTAAAGCTACAATTATATTACTGGTACGGGCTTTACTTGCGATTCCTATACTGCTTCATATTTGATCTCTATTGCTCTCACATTTAATCTGCTCGTTAGAAAGCACCCCATTGTTTTTACTCAAAAACAAGGTGTAGTCATGATTTACTTGTACACATTTACACATTAATACAAAAAGTGGACAAAAATAAAAATAATAAAATAAAAACAAATACAAAAAAAACCCAGAAACCTTCAAAAAAAAACCCAAAAATAGAATAAAATCCTTGCCAAGATGAGTGTGAGCTTAAATCCACCCAATGCCGACTTGGAAACTTTCTCGTTGCGCTCGCATGACTCGAATATTTCGAGACGCAACAGCAAGTTTGAAAGGCGCAGTTCGCAGTTTATGAGTCAGAGACAAATAAAATACTCTATTCCGCCGGATCATGTCGACACGCGATCCTTTGCATCAATGTATAAGCGCAATTCAACGGACTATCAATTCGTTAAGGATTCATATCTGCTTCACGAAGGAGAGAAAGTGTTTTGGGAATCATTTCCAAAATATGTGCACAACGATAGTAGAGATATTCCAGATGTTTTTCCCGACTACGCGAAATTTGTGCTTCCCTTGTGAGTATATCATATTAAATACTATAATACTATCTCCCAATCAAACCAATGATTTGCAATTCATGATCTAATCAGGCACATTTACTGTCGTATGCGCTATTCGGATTCGCAAAAGAAATATGAGGCGCAGTTTCAAAAGGAAATCGAACTGTTGACCGAAAGTCAACCAACAGCCAGTGATGCATTTGGCTTTGTGCGGTTAGTTTTCCATTCATTAGTTTTGTTAAAGTTCATTTTTGCAGTGTCCTTTTCACAGCATTATGTCCTACACGACGCTGTGGCCCCCCTTGCATACCAAGGCTGAAGTAAACTGGTCGAGCTCAAATATTTGCCAACTGACGCCTAAAGAGAAGAGCCGGTATCATAAAATAATGAAATGGAATCTTTGAAGTTGCAGCAGCAATTCAGAGGATTGAGGAGCAACGGAAAAAAAAACTACACACATCACTTACTTATATACTAATAATAAAAAAAAGAAAGAATAAACTATTCAATCGGAATAGCAGTATAAGCATTTTATTTGTGTCTACAAGTAAATCTACAAATATGTGGATATTCGAAATATTTATTGTTTATTTCCTTTGTAAGTAATAAGAATGAGAATTTATAGCTGTGTTCCGTCAGTTTTTAGAACAACCTATATAGTAACGTTTTCAAATTTAAGAAGATGAAGGGTAGGAAAATAATGAAATAAACACAGAAAACGTGTTTTGATTAAATTGCCACACTAAGCAACAACAAACAAGAAAGGAATGCTAAAGTCGAGCAGGCTCAACTCTTAAATACCCTGTACCACCCCACAAAAAAGTAATTAAATTAATTAATTAATTAAATTAAATTAATTAACTAAATTAATTTAATTAATTAACTAAATATTAACTAATTAAATATAAAATATTCCATGCATGCATACATACATTTACATTTACATCAGAATCGTGCCTTATGCGTGTTTGTGTACTTGCACATATGTATGTATGTGTGCATTGGGCCTGGTTATATGGCTATAACTTTCTTTCCGATCATTTTATCATAATGAAACTTGGTATACGGATATATAATTACTAACCTAATGTGACTACCAAATTTTAGCTCAAAATTCCAAGAATTACGGGAGTTATAGAAAATCAGTAATAGGGGGGGAGTGGGGGGGCAGATCAGAAAAAATTAACAAACTCGTCCTTTCTCGGTCTCAGGAGAATCTGTATACCAAGTTTGGTTATTCTAGCTCTTATACTTTCGGAGATCCTTGCGTTCATACAGACAGACAGACAGACGGACAGACGGACAGACGGACAGACAGACGGACAGACGGACATGGCTATATCGACTCGGCTTGTCATGCTGATCAAGAATATATATACTTTGTGGGGTCTACCAAGCCTCCTTCTGTGTGTTCCATGTGCACTCGCACAAAACTAATATACCCTTGTACCCTTTGGGTACAGGGTATAAAAAGGCAAGCAGTTAGCTTCAATTTTTATTCAAATAGAGGAGAAACGATACAATATAATGCATACGTTTTTAAAATATCCCATAAGTTGTTTGTTTAGGACTTCTGATGCAACCTAAATCAACAAAACCAAGAGAATTAAAATCGAACGAGTGTAGAATTTTTTTTGACAATAAGAAAACCAATACCATTTGACACCAAATTATATCAGATTTCAATGATATCATGCAAGCCCGTTTTTTGTAAACAGATAAGATATGGATTTATGGTTTCGGTCATGCTTTGAAGCGTAGGTTAATATTTTAATATGAGATAAGACCAGTCAGCCCAACTGAACTAAAAGTAATGTCAACGAAACTAATAAGCGATTCAAAAGGTCACTCGTTAAAATTAGGCAAATAATATTTGTTAAAAGGACGGTTTATAAAGCACATATTGACCCTTTAATTGATAACTTTTACGATCGATCTTGTTTTAGACAGAAAAAGAGTCAGTTCCCATAATTGCGGGAAGTTAATTACAAAACTCTTTTGGATTCCGAGCTTTTGTCGTATTATCTTATAACATATGCACGTGTATATGAGGATTTGGATCGCAAATGGTCTAAAATGAAATATAGCTGTAGTAGGTGTTTATAGAAAACATTTTCTTGAATCTAAAGGCATACATTTTTAAACTGGTGATAATTAATTATATCGCTTTTAAGAAGGAAATATTTCAAATAAAAATGTCTCCTACAAAATCTAGTTTTTTTTTTTGGATTTAACGCGTAAAGGGGTGAACATACTTACACTCATTTTAATTGTAGAAAAATAGTAATCCACTTATATCGGAAATTAACGACTAATTTATCGTACAGACATCATTCGCATGAAGAGACCGCGAGACTCAATCAGAGCTTAAAAGCTTTCATCGTCGTATACGATTTGAACTCAAGCTCATCTTTACAGCTCTCTTCAGCGCTCACTTTTAAGAACCGGCCTAATTGCTGCTCAGCAGAAATACACCGCACCAGCTCAACGACAACTAAAGACGTTCAGTCTATTTATCAGTTTCGAATCTGGTCTTTCGAGCATTAAGCATTTACTTAAGCGCTGCGATCGACGGCACTGCGATCAGTTCTAAGCTGGCGAGCGAGCGGCTAACAACGTCGGCCAGTACTTTATGGGAGTCACGTATCTGAGTGTATAATCCGCGTATATTCGAGGTCGAAACGCCCAGTGTGCACAATCGAAAGTGAAAGACCAAGAATTAATCAATAACAATACGACAAAGTGTAAAGACTGTGGGAAAAACCGCACTCGCGATTTACATTAATCGACTGCAAATAAACAACGACAATGAAGTCGAAAGCAGTGGGAATTCTCATCGTTTGCAGTCTCCTGCAGCTCGCAGTGCACGCACAGCAAAGTTAGTAATTAACATTCTCGCTCACAGTAGCCACAACAACAGCAGCAACAGCAGCAACAGCAACAACAACATCAAACTGATTCATGAACTTGAACCTATTGACGTTTCAAGCTGCGCTATCAAACAGAAATGACGGCAACGAACGTAATCAACGCCAATAGCCGCCGGCTGGTATCTCTTGTTGTGGTTTACATGCCGCTCATCTGACTTTCGCTCCTCATGCGCGGCCCTCAGTATTGTCATTTCCACAATTTGGCAATTTAGCAGCGCGAGTGGAAGTGACGTGCTTCGGGGCGCTTTTAGGAACCACACAGAAGTGCCTGACCAAGAAATGATTCATTTGGGTTTTATTCTGCTGTGATTTTGGAATTTTCTGACAAGTTGCTGTCAAGTGAGCAGCCTAATGAAGGCCATAAACAAAGCACCGATTATTCAAACTAAATTGTCATATGAATGTGTAACTTTCAGATTATATTTCTCGAAATATATAATCAAATACAAATAAATCACTTTCTACTACATTTTATAAAACCTATCTACATTTATAGAGCGGGTAGCTAAATAAAGTCAGATGCCATGCATAGAAACTGTTCGGCACTGCACATTACTTAAACCATTACAACAACAGAGAATTATACGGTCATAATACAGTTAGTCTCTATTGCAAATTTGAATGATTCAAGCTGATCCACAATGTTTATACTATTTCATAAAATGTATATATCTAATAGCAACTTTTAGCACAGGACCTTCCCGTAATAAGCTTTGACAATTAGAAAAGCGAAATGAATTAAAAAAAAGTTATCCCTTCTCTTCCATTTTATAGGATGCCGTAACCCCAATCAAAATTTCGGCTACTGCATATCGATCTATGATTGTCCCAGTCTCATCGAGGTCCTTCAACGCATTTCACTTACAAGTAGTGATCGAAGCTTTCTGCTTGAATCTCAATGCTCAAATGGATTTGGACGTCAGCCTTATGTCTGCTGCACAGCCGATCAGAGCTATGCGGGTCGCATAAGCACGCCCCCACCAGTAACGCCCACACAAACAGCGCCCACCCAAGCGCCCAGACCCACAACACTTACACGCGGCAATGGGCTAGGAAATGTGTTGCCTTCTCCACCAAATTGCGGGCCCGATTCATTTTCGGATAAAATCTACAATGGCAACGATACGGCTATAGATGAATATACATGGATGGTCCTATTGGAATATGTGGATAGTAAGTGCAGAGTGAATTAAGATAATTATTTCTTGTCTGCCTAATACAGCACAGGCAGGTTTTCTCTGATGCAGCTTAATTTATTTAGTTCCACATTTATAGAGACTGGTCGACGTGTGCTTAATTGTGGAGGCAGCCTAATCAATAGCCGATATGTATTGACTGCCGCCCATTGTGTGGTTGGACCTATTGAAACCGAAGTGGGTCGCCTGTAAGTACACAAAGCAATTCAACTTTCCCGCCTTAAAGGCAGCAGAGAACCTTTAGGTAATAACTAGATAGATAACTATGTTAATTATTCTAAAAATGCATGCTAGAGCAGTTTGATTGTGAAAATCCAGACCGAGATAGTTACACAAAATGAAAGAGCGAGAGAGAGGGAGAGATGAAATCTCAATATCTAGAGCCCACTATTATTCCAATTTGTAGCTAATTCAATTAGTAGAGAACAATGCATAAAGCAATTAGCTGGTAGCATATGAAAGCGTATTTCAACATTCTCGTGTATTTGATTCAACAAGTTAGTAATGCACGAAAATAAAATATATATACTATCTATCTCTACTACATACTACCTATCCATATTGCTATCCACACATTTATATATTTATCTCTAAAAAATAGATAGTATTTTTAATTGTAACAATATCAAATTTAAAAGCTCACCATAAGTTCAGTTTTTAGAACGCCTAAATAAAACAGCTCTGTACGGAATGCAATTATTTAATTACGTGGAATTGGAAAAGAGAGCATTTATTTATCTCCGATCCTGACTATTTTATGTTATCTACAAATTTTGCTTCCACTTATCTAAGCCGATAATGATGAATTTCAAAATCTCACAATGAAATACAATTTGAGTTTGTCAATTTTAAAACTATTCAACATTTTTTTTTATAAAATATTAAACATTTGTAAAAAAAAGTCCGGTCTAATTAAACTCTGACTTGTTAAAGCATTTTTCTGTTTATTATTAAATAATAATCTTTGATACCATATATTTTTGATAACAGGACCACAGTTCGCTTGGGAGAGTACGACATCAGCAAAGATGTGGACTGTGTGCGAGGTGATTGTAACAAACCCATTATAGAACTGGGCATTGAACGGGCCATACCGCATCCGGAGTTCGATGCTGCGAGTGCTAGTCGTCACCATGATATTGCTCTGATACGTTTGGATGCCGATGTGGAACTCAGTCCTTATATACAGCCCGTGTGCCTGCCCCTGGCGAGCACACGGCAAGCAATAAATGCTGGAGAGACTCTGACTGTTAGCGGCTGGGGCCGGACATTATTAGGTGAGTCCCTAGAATGGATCCTAAGAATAGTCTAGCTCACAAAATAGTTTGGTTATTTCAAGTTAATTAACTTAGAAAATAACTGATTTTGGTTTGAGGAAGAGATCTAATCGGACTAATATATTGCATATTTAAATAAATGGATTTTATTTAAACCTATATTCTGAACATAAATCAAGCCGTTAGATTAAATAATTCAACTGCTTGCATTAGCAATAGATCTAAACAAGTATCAGGCACAGAAAATCCATAAATTCATTTATAAACATTATATCTAAAAAATATTTACCGTAACCAAAAATCTCAACATTTTCTACAGACTTAAGAATATGAAATATATATACAAACCCTTACAATTGATAAAAAGCTGATCCGATCAAGTAATTATCTTGTTTTTCAAATCCGGTTCATTCGACTTCCTTAGACAAAGTGGCCAACTAGTTCTCACCATCCACTTCTTAAAACCGAATAACTCGGTTGTTGTTTTTCTTCTTGGAACTGAAGACATCAATATAATAACTATCTAGGATTGAACTGAATTATATGCTCTTATTAATACTTCATTTCTCCTTGTAGCGCGACAGAGCAACATTAAGCAGCATCTGAATCTTCCAGTCACAGATCACGACCAGTGCGCTCAGAAGTTCTCCTCGAGACGCATTCAGTTGCTCGATTCGCAGCTGTGTGCTGGTGGCGAATTCGCACGCGATAGCTGCGATGGGGACTCTGGTGGTCCGCTGATGCGTCGTGGCACCTCGAAGAACTGGTATCTGGAAGGCATTGTTTCGTTTGGCAATCGCTGTGGGCTGGAAGGCTGGCCAGGTGTGTACACGCGCGTGGCCGATTATATAGAATGGATTCAGGCGAACCTACAACCCTGAAGTTGAACGCTTTGTTCAAATTAAGTTTTAATTAAAGCCAAGTCGAGTGTTACACTTAAATATGTAGTTTGTATAGAATGCGGTGTGTTGGAGTATATGTAGTGTGCGAGCATTTTGCACATTTCAATTAACTTGCATTGAATGCGAGATTTTATCGCATCAGCAGCTGCCACGCTGCGTATACGTAATGCGCTTAGCTCGTGCTGTCGTCGTTTGCGGTAATTAAAATGGTAGCATCCTTGAAGTAACTTGCAACTGGCATTTACCATCTTATGCTGCCCCTCCCCCTACAACGCCTCTACGCCTGCTCACCAGCTTTTCTCTCCATTCAGCTCGCCGGCACTTTGAACAATTTTCTATGCAATTTGGCAATGATTTTCTATTATGCACATTTTGCGCCAAACGCTTGGGGGGTCCGAGCAACGCCTCCCACGTCCAGCAGCTAAGTAAATTGTTTGTTAGCGCGTAGACAATGCTTCGCTCATTATTTTTGCATAAAAAGGTTAATGGTGCCTTCAAGAACTCACCGGCAAAATAATGAATGGCAAGGTGAGGCTTTATTTAACAGTGTGTGTGTGTGTGTGTACGTGTCTTCCCTTTTGTGATTGAGTCGCAGTTGTTGGCCAGCCTCCGGCTATTGAATTTGCAAATGCAGCACGGAAAGTGCAAGAAGCCAAGTGGGGGAAAAAGGGCTGCCTTTTCTCATGGTACTTATGGCAGTCTTATTGTAGCTGACCATTTCAATGGAGCGGCAGAAAGTAAGTAAGCATAACAGATTGTGTTTTAGCTTAGTAATTAAATTATATTGTTTTCTTTTGAAATGCAACCGACAGCTAAACGAAAAAGATTTACCTTTAAGTCCAGCAAAAATAGCTGAACCATTAGGCAAACCATTAGGTATTCTTTCTACAAATTAAATTCACAACTAGTTGCAATTTGAATGCTCTGGCGAATGAAACAAGCCAATTGAAAGTAAAAAGTCAAAGCTGGCAGCTTAATAGATCAAAGACAATATGCATATTAAACCAATTATTTACTTTCTTCCCAGTGTGCTGAATTTATTTTAAGCTATGGTTGGGCACTTAAAAAAATGTGTAGAGTAGATGGCAGTTTATACTATTTTAAGACTGCCCTAGCCATGTCGAACGTTTAGACTGAGCTCGCTTAGACTGAGCTGGTGTGGTTGCCTGAAAATAAAGCATTATGTGGAAATAAAAAGTGGAAAGTATGACGAAGTTATCTATGGATCTTGTATAGAAACTGACTGGTGCGACACAATAAACGACTAATGTAAATTTACACGATGTTGTCAGATGGCAGATCGCTATCTACCTCAACAGTCTGATCAATTTCTTGTAACGATTACTTTAGAATCGTTTAATGGTGTCGTGTTCAAAAACCAAACCAAGAGCCATTGAAATATATACCAATATTTATAAATGGTCGCATGATCACTTTTTTTACCGTCCGCTTAAAATGGTGTTATTTGCACAATTTCTAGTGAATCTTTTTTCAATAGCTACAATCTATAGTCATATGCTCGGCATTGTCAGTATTTTTAAAATTATCTTCAAATCCGACTGTGATGAACGTCTTTCATTCTTAGTATCTACAAAATAAACACTACTTGTTTAATATATTTAATTTGTTCATGAGATATATATTTTTTGTATTTTGAAAGCCGATCGTTGTTAAGTTTCCTTTTTTTAATGCCGACTTTTGTTTCTTACATCTGCATATATTTAAATAGTTTCCATTGTCTCTGCTCTGCTAAATTCCTCGTTATATTGTCAAGCCTCCAAGACATTATAGAACCAAAATATTTGTGAACATTTCAAAAAAAAATAAGATTAGGAAGTCTTCCCTAATTCTCTCTCTCCTGCTCACTCTAATTATTAGCAGTAAGGATCAGGGTCGTGCAGCTTTAGTTACACTTCTTAAATTGTAAAAACTTTTGCAATATCTTGAGTCTAGGCATTCCTTTCGCTTTGCATGCCAGCCATGCAAGAAGCAATTTATTTAAAGTTTGCTCCATCATCGCTTACTTTCTCTAGTAATTGTTTGTATTTGCAGGCCTAGAAAAACAAATAGTAAATTTAAATGACAAACTGCAGCTCTCAACTACTTAAGTTATCGCTTGCCAACTATTTTTTAGGAGAGGTTGTGCCAAGAAAAAAGGCCCGTCGACAGCATTGGGCAGTCGGCCATGTGTGACTAAATGGGGCAATAAAAACAACAAAAACGACATACCAAATGCCTGTGAACGAAAAACTTGTAATTCAATTTTGGCAAACTTCACACAAATGCAAACCAAATGTAATTAACACCGACAGAGCGCACACAGACATGCATACTCGTACATACGGTGACACAAATACAAACAGAAACGAAAACAGAAACAGAAACAAACACGGCCAACGCAACGAAATGAAGTGGCTAAAATCCACCTGCTGACCATAACGATGGACAGAGAACGAGGGAGGGAGAGAGGATGAGGCGGAGTAGAGGTGATGTCAATTGGCCTCACGCACACTAAGTGAAACGGACCACCCTCAGCGAGGAGGGGGAACAGCACAGGACAGGACAGGACAGGCCAGGCCAGACCAGGCCAGCCAGGCTAAGCGCTGTGCAAATTTGTTGTTGGCTGCCAGGCGGGGGCAACGTATAGAATGGGCTCTGGCCATGGCACTTACAGACGTAATTGAGTTGCAATGCCCACATTTAAAATGCCCGTCAGCGCTAACGAGCGAGATGTGGGTCCGGGAATGGGCTCAGACACAACACCTACAAACGTTTCCGGTGCAAATCGGAGCAGGGACGAGGGCACATGAGGTTGATTCCGCCTGTCTGTCACCAAAACTGTCAAAACGTTCAAACCGCATGTGTTGGCTTTTTTCTTTGATAATGATCTTATGGGGAAACCATAAGAGGATTTTTTTTTACAGAAATATAAGTATGTCGAGTATGTCCTGCAGCAAGGCTTTTAAGGTGGTCATAAAACTATCAATTTATTTTTATATGCCGGCTTACTAGAAGATTTTCGATTCTGGTTACAGCCAATTTTCTATTAGTGCTAAGCCGCAACCAAGCGAAAAAATGTATGCAAAGCACTAATAATATTTGCGCATACAAACCTTTATCGTCGCACTATTTTTTGTAGAGGCTTGGAAAGAAATGAAGGAATGGTTTCAAGACAGAAAGAAGTATTCAAGTGTTCAGTATTATAAGATGGGAAAAATAGCACGTTCTAGAAATTAAAATAAATTCTATTGCAATTTTGAATTTGGATATCATTAATAAATCACTGAATCCTGTTTTAAAGCAAGCGAATATTTTAATGAAAAAATGTGCAAAAGCCGAATACTTCTTCTTCTTCACTGATATCGCCATGGATTTAAATTATTTACCCGTTAAAGATGACTTTTCTTAGGCAACGTTTTGGCAAATACTTATCTAAATCGATTACTTAATGAAATAACTATTGGCAAATAATTATTACGATTGCTCAACTGTCCTTCTAAGAGCTCACCAGAACTGAATCTTAAATGTCAACAATAAAATGAATACGTGTTGTTTTTTCAAAATATGATGTCATCTTTTTCTATGTGCTACCTGGTAGGTTCACATTTCAATCACTCTTGATGATCCCGCCCATGGTGCGAGTGTGTTAAACGACCATGCATTCGTAGTATACGCACCAACAACTGCACCAAGCTTTTCGGTCGATCTCCCATGCCACAACATCCATGGGAAATTGGATTAAATTCACGCAATTTGCTGCTGGAACGGTGGCGTTGCGATGCGATGCGAGATGCTTGGTGTTGAGTTTAAGCTAAATTGGCGAAATTGAAATGGAATAAAAAGTGAAAGCAGTTTAACAAAGTTCTATTGTTGTGCTGTTGGCACAAAAGTTGCGTTGCAGCTGAAAGGCTCACATAACAAAATCACGCCCCATGGCGTCTGTCACATAAATCTAAACCGTTTTGATGGTTCTGCCTGCGCCTTCCCCACAACAACAACAACAACAACCATATCAAAAAAAAAAAAATTATATATATGCATGTACACATCACAAAATTGCCGCAACAAAACGGGGCTAAAACTGAGGGCGAACAACAGCTGACGTGGCAGACACGATATTTTCGTTGATTGATGAATTGAGCGAAGGAGCGAACGTGCATGTGAGCCCACAGTGATTGCCGCACGTTGCGCATACGCCATGTGTGCGTGTGTGGGGCAGAGTTGCAATAATTTCATTTAACATGCATACCAAAAATGCCGCTGGACGTGGGCGCTGCCTTCTACCAAATTTATGGGAAATTTATGACTTTGGGCCTAAACAAACTTGCAACATGGCAACGAGCACAACACACACACAATTTTTCGTGGACAACCAGAGGGACAGACAGAAAAAAATGGATTTTACAGCAATTTTCGTTTCACTACAATGGAGTGTGCGATTTGCATTTGAGTGTGTCAGTGTGTGTGTGTTTTTGTAGGTATGTGCATCGCTCTCTTGATTACCATTGTTGGGCATTTAATGCGATTTGCTTGCCATCGGCAATGCTGATTGCTGGCCATGGCCAGCTCCCAGTTTCCAATCATAAACATAACGTGTGCAACGGCCACATCATTGGTATCGAAAAAGCAATGATTATTTATTTGCTTAGCATTTGCATTTGGCAATTGTTTATGCACCGACATCGGCTCAGCCATACACTCACTTACTGCATATAGTGTATATAGTTTTATCAGATGTCCCCTTTTTTGTTTGTTCGATCTGCCGCATTATACTCTGCTCTACATTTGGGCGTAATTAAAATAAATGTTCCAGCTGATTAGCCTCTGCGGCTGACAGTGTGTACACACTCATATGCATATCCCCGATTGGTCAGCAATATTCGCTGTTGATTTAGGCCGGCTGTCATTTTTGGGTTAATTGGATACAACGTTTAGAATCAGCAATTCAGCTGGAAAATGTCTATGGCCATTTTAATATTTCTAAAAATAGTTAATAGGCTTTTACCAAATTCAATATTTATGGAACACTAGATAGAATT